TTGATTTTAAGTGTCTATAGTGATTATTGCATAGAGTCAATAACACGAAGTTCAAGGTCAAGTAATTTGCACATGAAGATCGACATGGAAACAAATTCGCAAATCGAGAGTATGAAGAACAATATTGAAACCCGCGAAAAGTAGCCTAAAAAAGAATCAAGACAAAAGTCAATGAACGATCAAGCAATGCATGCTAAGATGTTCAAAACATTGTACTTAGACGTTTCACATTCATATAAAGGTAAAATGCTTCAATATTTGACAAATGATTACTAAGAGCTCAAAGTAAATTTTTATGCACAAGAAAAATTATTTTCAAATCAAATGATTGCATAAAATCTTTATCGAGTTACTTACTTTGAAAATAATACGTGAGAGAGTACTTCAAGAAAATACATCAAACAAAAAATCACGCAAGAAAACGTCTGGGGGGCAAAATACCCATTAGGACTTCCGGATGACCCACAACGGTCACTTTTTTGACCTTTCTAAGTTCTTTAAACGATTAGTTGATTACACGATCCGGACATCCAGATGCCTTGTCCGGATGGATAGAGTCTTGGCCGATTTGAGTGCTATAAATACCTCACTCACTTTTCATTTGCAATAACCTTTTTTGAGTATTAAAGTGAAGTTTTTATTGATCCCAACAACCTTATTTTCTATCCTTAGAAAAAAAAAAAAAAAAATCAAACTCTTGAAAAACTTTGAAAAGATTAAACTTTGTGAAAATCCTTATTAAAAGTTTTTCAATCTAAACACTTTCAGCTACACTATTTGCCATTTATTGAAATGTTTACTTCTTCTCTTCTTGTATTCATATTTGGATTTATTGAAGAGAAGATTTCACTTGTAAAACACTTTATAATCGAGGGTCATATTGAGGTCTCGTAAAGTTCAATAGTTTGGGTCGTGTTGAGGTCTCGTAAAGCTTAACATTGTAAAAAGATCAGTACTTCTTGTTTGTAAGTCACCGGAAGCGTTGTAAAAGGTTGGATTGCATCATAAATCAATCAACATAGTGAAAAAGGCCTTGCTCGTACTGGAGAGCTTGGTAATGGGTTACGTAGATCATTGCATTGGATCGAACATCCATATCATATCGTTTACACTCTATATCCATTTAACTCTTTTAATAATCAATTCACCCCCCTTTTGATTACTCAATCTTGGGCTTTCAGAACTCAATTTGATTAACTCTACACTTCAACTAAACTCCCTAGAGTTTCTGCATTTGTCTTTCATATTTTCTGCAAACCTCAAATTCCACTTTTTTTTTGAAATTGGATACCAACATCAACGCGAAATAAACAAGTTCGTCTGAGTTCATTTCAAATTGTCAAACCGTTGACTTTTACTCTTTTCTATTTTGTCTTTTAGCCCTTTTTAGCAACCATCGAGGAAAAAAACACAAATTTTTCGGCTCATTCGAAAATTTTTCGGCTCGTTCAATGTATTGGTACATCTATAGAGGGTCTTAACACAAATAATTTTTTTATTTTTTATCAAACGTATCATGTTAAGACAACTGAATCACTCTCGTAAAAGATCACTTTATGTGTAAATAAAGAAATGAATACCTGAACAACTGTAAAGAGCTCTAACAAGTGAAAATGAGCTAAGTAAATACAGAATATTCTTTATCTAGGTATACCACAAAAGTGCTTTAAAATAATGAAATATGACAATTGTTAAAAAAATTCAGTTGCGGTGATCATTTAAGTATGAGTCAATCAAGTTCAGCGTACCAAATATAACGTTCCTTCTATTGAAATAACTAAGTCAAACAACTTTATTCAAGGTACAAAAGAGGCATCCAGAACCAGTCTTTATTTTGCTCCAGATGAAGACATGACAAAATTCTCAACATGCGGATTTTTAGCCTGATAGCTATCAAAAAAGGGGGGGCAACAGAAAGAAGTGGCAAGGTAGAACAGAAAAGAAAGCTCGGGATCCTAAAACTTCACCCCAGAATGGATGGCAACAACACCTCCAACAAGATTTTCATACTCAACTTTTTGAAACCCGGCTTCTGCAATCATTGAGGCAAATTTCTCCTACATAAATGAAATAAAATTTACTATTAGAAATATGGGTAAAACCAAGAAGGCAAGAACTAATCTCAAAGAAAATGAACATCCAAGCCTCACTAAGCCCCTGTTTGGCTCATTTCTTAAAACTCATTTTTAACAACAAAACTCATGGGATCCACAACTTTTATCAACTTTTCAACCACACAATTCACCAACCTAAAAAATTAATTTCTATCCAAACCAAACTGTGGCTAAATATTATCAAAATCATAATGAGCGTTCACTTACTTAGAGTAAATTTAGAAAAACTATCATACATAGATGTCCATTGAGACACTAAATTTTATGCTCTGATTAAGACCACAAAGTGTTAATGTGTGATGATGACGATATAACCAGAACGCTGCCATTAAATACTTCAGCCTACTCCACCACTCTAGACACCAATTTTTCACACACCAGTTCTATATCTCGTTTAAATTTGGACGATGAAGTCGGTCAAACATGAACCTATTAGCATTCTTTATAACATCATCCATCTATGCACAAGATGTCAGAACGAGTTGAAGATAAAGGAACTAAACAAAGATGGAGATAGACTAACAAGAGGGTTATGTACAATAGAGAACACAAAAACCAATGCATAATAACCAACAAGGTTTAGTTCTATGCAGAAAAAATGGATCTCTAAATTTGTGGTTTAGTTTTATCATTTAATACATATTATTAGTTGAATTTAAAATCTCTCTCTCTCTCTATATATATATGTGTTTATTTCTTTTACAATTCAATGATCAATACCAATCAGAATTTCCCAACATGCACATGACCCCACCCCTCAAACCAAAAAATAAAAACATAAAGAGGTAATAACAATCATAATAAAAGAACACGCGTAAATGAATTTCAGTAGGGTTTTTTTTTTCTCGGGCTCTCAATTTTCAAAGACGCGACAATTCTAATATAAAAGCAAGCATTAATTAATTTCAAATATTTATTTTTCTTCGTGGGATTTAAATAGTTAGCCGGCTTTGCACGGTCACAACCATACCACTAACCACCCAATAGACTCTGGCTGTTATTGTGATTAATTCAAGCATTTTACCTGCGAGGGGAAACGACGAATGCTCTCAACCAAATATTGATAAGATTCTCGATCACCTGCAACTAGCTCTCCTACGGCCGGAATGACCGAGAATGAGTAATAATCATACCTGACAAGAAGAAAATTTAGCTACAAAAAGTCAAAGGATGGCTAGAGATGCATGAAAACTGCATAGAATGAAGTGATATTTGAGGAGATTCTTACTAATTCTTACAAAAGTAATCCAGGAATTATTTAAAAACCAATGGAACAAATACAGTTTAAGAAACCAGTATTTTAAGTGTACTAACTAACAAACAACTTCACGTAACTATGTTGATACAAATGAAACCCAATTTGAGTGCCACCGTAAGTGAAACGAGATAAGATGTTCAACAGCATGTATGTGGCGCATAAAAAGAGCTAGTCCTTGACAATCCTTACAACTCTTTAAACACTGGGAGTTCCACATGGCTCAGCTCAAGGCAGAGAAATCGTCCTCCCCGTCTAAGTACTCTGCAAAACAAACAAACAAAAAACATGTTTGAAATCACAATGGCACTATCTACAAGAGAACGGCAAGGGATCAAAAATAGGAAATTATCCGCAAAACCATAAATAAAAATGAAAAACTGGTGAAGAAATTGTAAGTTCTATTTGCTATTTCTAACAATCCAGCATTTGCCTAGGTTTTATTTGCTTCTCGTTAATGGATCAATCGAACAGGGATTAAGGGTGTATATTTATTGTTTCAATAGAATCATTTAGATACTGCTTATTCTCAATCCAATAAGAAACAACAGCATTGAAGTAAACATAAGAAATTTCTTAATTAATCAACACATATCAGTGAGATTATAAACAAGTCGCCAAGAGGTGCTGAGGATGCTGAACTCCAAAGCTGGGCCAAGCTATAAACCATACTAATTGCGTTTGTACTATTACTACAATCTATAAAAATCTAGACAGTACCATAAAGGGTACACATGAAAAAGTGAATGTCTATTTTCTATAAAGACGTAGTAGTAGATTGTTCTTTATAAGGTGCTATATGATTGATAATTCATCCCGAGTTAAAGATTATTAAATTTCTGCAACATCCCTCTTTTAGGTACTTGTATATAACTCTCTACAACATCTAACGAGGTATCCAGTAAATTCGTAAAAAGAGGAATATATAAGAATTTCTTTTCAAGATGAATGACAGTGCAGATTCATGAATAAGTAGACTACTGAAAATTATAATCCTAAGGGCTTGTTTGTGAATGATTTTAATTCAATTAAAATTGAAAATATAGCCGTTATTGGGACCCACCCGTCTAATAAAAGTCAACAATAACGGCTAATTTTTCAATTTTAATCCGATTTTAATACTTCCCAAACAAGCTCTAAGATATTTTCTAAGATCGTAATTTCAATTTTTAACAACTCTGGCTTATATATACTCTGTGGTGTCTGTTCTATTACTTCATGTTACTTAAGCATTCCCATTTCTGACTGCATATTTTACCTAAACACCAAATACAACAATTTTTTGTCTCAAATACGGTGTGCCCTCATGGTACATATAATCCCTGAGAGTTGGACAAAATATACTTTGGTTGTCAATATTTCACCTCGTCCAAGCTTATGAGTGACTTGAGTTACAAGATGGAAAAAGCACATCATATCATAACATGTACATGTTTCTAAAGGAAGAAGAGACACGTTTATGAATAAAAATTAAAATAATAAAGAATAAATTAAGTTTACAATTACTAAATAAGTTTATAGGCCAACTAATATTCTAAGAAATTACATATCTTGAGCAATTTCTCTCATTCTTGCTCTTCCTTTACTCAGTGTGATTCATTAATATGCATGTACGAGACTTATCGTGGTCAAGAAAAGTAATCAAGGATTAGAGATGCGACCTCTTTGAGAAGATAACAGATCATGCTACAACTAGGTAAACCACATTTACACACAAGTCAAAAGTTTAAAGCCTGTATGCTAGAGTCAATTAAACATTGTATAACAGGAAACTGATGCAAATGGTCCCAAACTTTTGGACATCTTGCATTTTTTGACCATACCTTTCAAACTCATGGATGGTCCAAAACCTTTGCATTCTTGGCACAATGGTCCTTTCGGATAGATTCCATCCAAAAGCACCATTAGTTTTAGCACGTGGAATGCACATTCTTTTAAGGGCAAATTTCATATTTAGCCCAACCATTGGCGAAGTAGCGATCATGTTTCTAAACAATTTTTTGTCTTATTTTTCTTAGCAAACTTGGTCCCAACTATTAAAAAGCATAAGCACCCCTTATATAGGATATAAACTTCTCTACCTTAAGTAGGCAAATATTAGAAAGCCTATTAAATTGAATCTCAGATTATTCAATAATTTCCACAAGCACAAATTCCACTCTTCATAGGCCCAAAAATTCTTCAACAAATTAATTCATCTTCCTAATTATGTTTCCTAAGATAAGTATCCAATTTGAAAA